GGTTCGAGTCCCGCCAGAGGCATTTTATTACACAATTTCTTTATTCATTTATTTACAGGACTACATTCGTTGAGAGCTATGCTACACGATGTATTTATTAAGTCCTTTATTCGAACACTGTATTTACCTTTCTTTGATGATTTACATATATATATATATGTATGTTTATATATATATATATATATATATGTGTAATTATATATATAGGTATATATGCGTGTAGGTGTGTGTGTGTGTGTGTATATAGACTATACGAAATCCTTCTTGCTTACCTTATCTTCACGAATATATTCTTGTACTTAGCTGTCCGAGAATCTTTGTAACCTCGCATCGCAACAAGTAATAGGATAGATTTTACCTACAAAATTATATGTCGATCAAGGATTATTGGTTACTGACGGGTTCATCCAAGTAGTATTACAAATTGACCAAAATCTAATTTGTAATAGTTCTCCAAAGCATATATACTGATACATATATACTCCCCCCCCCACACACACCCCCATACATACAAACACACACACACCCACGCACACCCACACACATATATATATATATATATATATATATATATATAATTATATATATAAATCATATATATATATATAAATCATCATTAATCATTAATGTATAGACTAAAAGTTTTTAAGTTTTTGAGGTGAACATTTTGTGAACATACGCCTTTGGATCGACGGCAATCAAGGGTGGTGCGTTCAACTTAAATATTTCATTTCATTTCATTTCTTTAGGCACGAGTGCCAATGATATGCCAATAAGTGAACTTAATCACTGTCCTACGTGGCATATCCATTTAACAACAGGGGACTTACTGGACCAGTACACCGGGGTAACCCACTACTCTTCTCGAATAATGTGCTGGGCTCTTTAAAGTGCACACGAGCCAAATGCGTACACTGGGCCTACGGTTTAAAGTCCTTATCCGAGAAGACTTTTTCCACCACCGGAACCATTGGCGAGTGAGCCGTTCGAACCAGCGCCGATATTAGAGCTGAAGGATACTGTGTCCCTCACTTAACAGCTCGGCCTATCAACTCGCCATTAAGTGACAATACAATGAGTCACTTAATTACTGTACACTTAATACTAATAAAACAATGAATACAAACTTTATAATAACTAAAATAAACATGAGAAATTAGGTAATAAACTTAAAATTAAATAATACAATAAAACAATAAAATAATACATTTGTGTACACTTACACAAATAAAATCCCTCCCTACTCAATCAATTAACCCCCTTTTTCCAAATTTGGTCCACACGTAATGGGCCAAAATAAAACAAACAATTTTATACAAATAAAAATTCAAAAATGCAGTGACACAAGGTGTATAATTGATTCAGTAATGCTCCAAACTACTCTACCCATTCCCCCCAACACACCCCTTCTGTTATACATTAAATGAATTTCCAGTGCATTGTAGTAAGACGATTGTAAATAATTCTAATAAATTGATAATACAATTAATATTCAAAATAAAAAATTACAATATAAAATGTAATAAATTGGTATTAAACTGAGATTAACTTAATTCGATTATACCCCCATCTACCCACCCTTCCCCTTCTTCTATATATTAAGTAGGCCTACAGTTTGATGCATTGTAGTGTAACAAATGAAAGGTATGAAGTAAATTATAAATACACAGTAGCAAATAAAATAAGAAAAATAGTTAAGAAAATAAAGCAAATAAAACTAATATATAATAATACTAATCAATATTCAAAATGCAACAATACAAGGTATAATAACATATTCATATTAAACTAAGGTAGACTCAATTTCTGATCGTTTGGACCATGCCATCTTGGCGTAATTCTTACAAATCTTGTCAAAGGCTCGAAGAGCATCATCACTAAGTAGTGTTTTCACCACCTAGAACGAAATGCATTTTTTTTTTTATCTAGGTCCGATGATTGTAATAATTGTCAGATATTATAGTTATTGTATACTGTACTTTTCTTTTCCTTTTGCCTTGAATGTCTTTGTCATGTTTTTTGAAGATGAATAAAAAAAAAATTAAAAAAAAAGAAGATATTATAGTTATTGGATAATTCCAGATCAATTTTCAGATCATTAAGTTCTTGTATCCTTATATTATCAAACACATTACAATTGAAAAGAAAATGTTTAACATCCTCAGCATCACCATTATTACACAATGTGCATAACCTAGAGGTTTCAGCTGACCATTCACTTGTTATCAAATTGCAG